GTCAGCGAGCCCACGGTCGCGATCGCGCCTACATTGAAATCTTCGGGGAGGGCCGACTTCCGCTTGTATACGCGTGTGTCCATTCTTAAATTTACCAGCGCAACACGATGAATCTTCTGTCGGGGTGGGTGTTCCAAACTGCAGTCAAGTGAGCCAGGAAGGCCCTGCACCATGCATGAGCTTGTAGTGGCAACCACCCACGCGTGTAGACAGACTCTTTGATCCCTCAAGCACCATCTTCTCTCCCTCCGACCTTCTTCAAAAAGAGTCTCTGCTACACTTGCTCCTCTCCCGCTGCCCTTCCTCAGTCCCGTCACCCGCTGCCCTTGCTGCCCCGAACCTCGCAATGTTGAACACACCCTCTTATTTTGCGTAGAGATGCAAGTTGCTGCAGGGGAAATGCACCTCGGTTTTTTACTCTTCTTTAAACCGTTTATTTCGATATACGAGAAGTTAATGTAGTTCTGCTAGGAATGATGATGTAAGTTATTGCAGGAGACATATCGGTTTGTGAAGGTTGCCGTTGCAATGCTCCAAAGGGAACGAGCAGCACCATGACCGCCATGGCAATGAACCTAAAGCTCACGTCAGGAATGGTCGCTCACGTTTGGGCGGGGAATAAGATTGGTATGACCAGAGGGGGGCATTTAGCCAACGGGCTTGGGATGACATGGCTGGCAAAGGGGCAGTACATGTTGTAGGTACGAGCCCCATTTTTGTGGTGTAAGAGGCGAGCTGTCATGGCTGGCAGAGGGGCAGTACACGTTGTTCGTACACAAGCTTGACGGCGAGATGAATTGGCGTGAGAAAGAGAGAGAGAGAGAGAGTTTGAGAGAGAGGGTTTGAGAGAGAGAGTTTGAGAGAGAGAGTTTGAGAGAGAGGGTTTGAGAGAGAGAGTTTGAGAGAGAGAGTTTGAGAGTTTGAGAGAGAGAGTTTGAGAGAGAGAGTTTGAGAGTTTGAGAGAGTTTGAGAGAGAGAGTTTGAGAGAGAGAGTTTGAGAGAGAGAGTTTGAGAGAGAGTGAGAGTGAGAGAGTGAGTTTGAGAGAGAGAGTTTGAGAGAGAGAGAGTTTGAGAGAGAGAGAGAGTTTGAGAGAGAGAGTTTGAGAGAGAGAGTTTGAGAGAGAGAGTTTGAGAGAGAGAGAGAGTGAGAGAGTTTGAGAGAGAGAGAGAGTTTGAGAGAAAGAGAGAGTTTGAGAGATACATAAAAAAAGAGAGACTGAGACGAATTACACTCTCGATGGGTGTGGTTGGTGCGCAGAAGAAAGAAATACACGGGGGCTCGATCGGCCGAGCCAATAGATTTGGCAGGTACGTTGGGCGTGGCGATCCGATTGACCGGCGCAAACCGTCCTTACCACCCATGAGCCCGGTCCAGGACGTGCGGATGGAATTTGCTTTTCCCGCTGTTGCTGAAAATAAAAAAATTAAAAAAGAAGAAGAAAAAGGTGTAAACGTGTGTGTGTGTGTTGCTTGCATTTTTCTTCCTTTCGGTTGTTTGCCATTGCTTTTGCTTTTGCTTTTGCTTTTGCTTTTGCTTTTGCTTTTGACTTCGTCTTCTTCTTCTTCTTCTTCTTGTTGTTGGTGGTGCCCTTTTTTGGCAGCGGTGTCGGTATCGGTATCGGCATCGGCGGGCTGCTTGACGTGTCTTGCTTTCTGTGTGTGTGTGTGCGTGGTGACTGATTGCTTGTGTTTGGTGCGGGACTCTCTTGGTCGGGGCCTTACGGCGACGCCAGAACGTTTTGATTGAAAGCACCGCTGCCATTTTTTTTGCTTTCAACTGAAGTTGGCCTCACTGTTCTCACCTCGCAGTCGACAACGTGCGCTGGGCAACCAAGTACACCGGTCCTCGCCACTGTCACCGAGAACTATTGGCCAAAGGTGCGTCGTTTGGTGCACCAGGCAGAGAAGAGCAAAGGGCCCGGTGACCGGCTGCCGTTTTGGAAACGGCGCGCACCTGTTGAATCCCAGTCCGAATTCTGGGTTGTCAGACGAGTTGTACTTGGAGGGGGCTCATGAGATTGGTGGTGGCTAGAGAAGCAAGCAAAGCGGTTTGAAGCGGATGGTGAATAGAGAGAGATACCGTTACCATGAGTGATGATGGATGGCAGCTGTACAGTGCGTGTTGTTCACCAGATTCACAATGGGCGCTGCAGCTGTTGACCAGTTGGGACCAACAACGTATACGAGATGCTGCCCAATACAAAAATACGGTACGTATGCTGTTTGGTATGATGTTGTGTGATATTGGTTACACTTTGAATGTGTCACTTGATGGGGTGACGTTATGGTATAACATGGGACATATACTGCATGTTTGCATCATCCCACAGGGTGGCTATACACCACTGCACATGGCCTGCCACAACGGTCATGACAAGGTGGTGGAGATGCTGTTGCAGCACGGTGCTGATACTAAAGCCAAGGACAACGTCAGTACAGTACCTCCCTCTTCCCCCCTTTATCCCCCTATGATGGTGCACCTGTACCCCATGATGATGATGATGATGATGCACCATCCCACAGGGTGGCTTTTTTCAGAGCGTCAGTACAGTACCTCCCTCTTCCCCCCTTTACCCCCCCTATGATGGTGCACCTGTACCACATGATGATGATGCTGTACCTGTACGTCATGCTGATGCATCATTTCACAGGGTGGCGAATACACCACTGCACATGGCCTGCCACAACGGTCATGTCAAGGTGGCGGAGATGCTGTTGCAGCACGGTGCTGATGCTAAAGCCAAGAACAACGTCAGTACAGTACCTCCCTCTTCTCCCCTTACCCCCCTATGATGGTGCACCCGTACCCCACGATGATGCTGATGATGATGATGCTGTACCTGTACGTCATGCTGATGCATCATCCCACAGTATGGCGATACACCACTGCACTATGCCTGCATTTGCGGTCATGTCGCGGTGGCGGAGATGCTGTTGCAGCACGGTGCTGATGCTAAAGCCAAGAACAACGTCAGTACAGTACCTCCCTCTTCTCCCCTTACCCCCCTATGATGGTGTACACCCGTACCCAACATGATGATGATGATGATGACCTGTACGTCATGCTGATGCATCATCCCACAGGGTGGCGAAACACCACTGCACATGGCCTGCTTTAAGGGTCATGTCGCGGTGGCGGAGATGCTGTTGCAGCACGGTGCTGATGCTAAAGCCAAGAACAACGTCAGTACAGTACCTCCCTCTTCTCCCCTTACCCCCCTATGATGGTGCACCCGTACCCCACATGATGATGATGATGGATGTGTACCTGTACGTCATGCTGATGCATCATCCCACAGAATGGCGAAACACCACTGCACATGGCCTGCCTTAAGGGTCATGACGAGGTGGCGGAGATGCTGTTGAAGTACGGTGCTGATGCTAAAGCCAAGAACGACGTCAGTACAGTACCTCCCTCTTCCCCCTCTTTACCCCCCTTGATCGGCTGCTGCTCCTGCTCCCGCTGCATGTGCTTTGCCCCCGTCCCTCCTCTCCGCTACACCCTGCCCTCCCGTGCGCGTTCGTTCTTCCCCCTTGGCTCCTTTTCTTCTTTCCCGCTATCCCTCTTCTTCCCCCGTTTTGCGTCCGCCCGTTGTCGGTGCTCCCCGCGCCCCGCTTGTCTCTTCCGCCTGCCGTTTTCGCTCTCCCCTTTTTCTGATCCATCCCCAACCCCTTGCCATCACGCCTCTGCCTCTCTCGCTCGCTCAAGCGACTTTCGGTGGCCGTGCCTTGAGTTTTGCCCCCGGCACACGCGCCCTTTTTGTTTTTTTTTTTCCTCTCTCCAAGCGCGCCTCCGTTCGGACCCCTGCTACCTGCCCGCACCATTTGCACACCACTCGCGCGTCTGGCGTCTTCGGCCCACTTCAAAGCATTGTCACCTCGCCTTTGTTATGAGAAAGCAAATGCACATCGCCCAACTCAACCCTCGCGTCGCTGCCCACCTCGCACGCGCCAATCACATGTTCTCAGGATGGCAGAACGCCCCTCGATGTCGGACGTCAACGCGGGCATGGCGACAAGCTGGAGCCCGTGCTTGCTGCTCACAAAGCTCTCTCCTCCTGGCTGCCGCCTCTGCCCACCACCCCCACCCTCGAGGTGAGCCTGCTCCCCCATCTTGTTTTCCCAATGCATTTATTGCCCCAATCCCCACGGCCTCATCCAACCTAATCACGACCAATGGCACCACACAACCCTTAATTAGACTACGGCCTCTGTTGTGGTGGCAGTGGACAAGTGGCTCAAGCCGCTCTTGCCCACGCACACCACCCATCCCCTCCCTCACCTCGATGCCTTTATCAGCGGTGCCGCCAAACAAAACCCCAATCTTGCAAAGGCAGTTGCTTCAATCCGCAAAACCATTGATGAAGCCCCACCAGAGTTTCCTGCCATGGACTGGGCTGCCTTTCAGGCGACCATTACCCAGGCCCTCGGTGCGCTCGACCAGGCACTGGCAGCGCCCGAAGCGTTGAACAGCCGCTTGGGTCAATTGGACTCAAACACTGACAGCCTAGAATCAGTGCTCCAAGAGCTGCATGATGTCACTGCTGGTTTTGAGCTGCAGCCAGCTTTTCTTGAGCTTCAGACCGTGCTGGCAGCATGCCCTGCTCCACCCACCACGCCAGTGATCGCGCCCAAAACGCCACCCACCGACCTGGCGGCGGCCCTGAGCAAAGTCATCGTTCTGAGCGGCGTAGAACCCAAGCGTCAGGAGCTGCTCACCAGCGCCAACAGCAACCTCAAGCGCCTCGTGCTGGCCTTGATTGATGCCCTGGGCGCCGTGGCAAGAGCGGGAACCACCGACACAATTCATCGCGTGGAGACGCTACGGCAGTGCGCGCAATGCGTGGATGCAAGTGCACCGCCGCCAGCCGAGACATTGCCTGAGGCCTGGGAGGAGCTGTGCCAAGCTCACGAGAAGCTGAACCTGCTCGAGCAAAATGGTCTCGAGCAAATTGCTCAGTGGCAACCACCTCCAGACTACGAGCATCAGGATTGGTACGTGGCGTTTGTGCACCACGAGTCGCAAGCTCTGCTGCAGCAGTTACAAGACATGATCGACTGGCAGGCCACGACGCTCTCCGTGTTGACCTCGTGCATGAAGCACGTGGACAGCTTGAACCAAGACGTCGATGATGAATCGGTTGCTGCTCACGAGGAACTGACAAAACTACAGGCCGAGATTCAAGGATTTCACACGGCTTTACAACATTTGCCTGAAGACGTGCGTCCAAGCCTCGAACACAAGCTCCAAGAGAAGAAGGAACGGCTGGATACCTTGCGACAACAATTATCAGATCAGCCACACGTGGACCACGTCGCAGAACTCGCCCAGCTGCTGCATCAGCACTTTCCAGCGCTGCTGGTCTTTCTGCACCCTGAACAGAGCACCCTGGGAGCGCGCCTCCGCATTGTGCTTGGGCCCGACCTTCCAGCCAGCCTGATCTTGGAGGCCATGACCGAAGTAGACCAGGGTTTGACGCTCTCCAGCCTGGGCCAGCTTGATCTTCATTACAACCAAAATCACAAGGTCTACAAGGCCCGCGCCGCGCTACCAGAATCTGAGGAACAAGATTTGGCTGTGAAGGAGTACGCTTTTGCCCGGCAACACAAGCAGGACCAGTGCCGTACATTCCTGCGCGAGCTTCGCGCCATGCGCCAGCTTGAGCACCCACACATCATTCCGGTCCTTGGCGCGCTCGTGGACGTGCACAGTGGCCACCCCAGCGCCTACTTGGTGCAGCCGTGGTGTACACAGGGTGACTTGCAGCAGTGGCTCAGCAAGGCACGGCACCTGGCCACCTCGACCGTGATTGCGAGTCTGATGACTCAGCTGCGCACGGCCCTGGCGTTTATGCATAGCAAGGGCTTGGTGCATCGGGATGTCAAGCTGAGCAATGTGATGCTGGACGGTGACGAGGACCAACCTGTTGTGCGGCTGGGCGATTTTGACATTACCAAGGCCGCAGCCGAAGCCACTATGCTACCATGCACGGCCACTGCATCGTCGGGCACGGCGGGCTATGTGGCACCAGAGGTGCTATTTGGAATGGGTCGTGTGGGTGCACGACCGGCACAGGATGCCTTTTCTTTTGGCTGTGTAGTCTACAACACGTACATGTATCCACAAACGGTGCCGCCTGCTCGTTTACCCACAGATCAGCTTGTTGACAAATGCACATGGGATGCAGGAGCAGAGAATGCAAATTTCGGTTTTACGCACTTGGCGACTGAGGTAAGCGTATTGTGATTCTCTGAAACGACAACTGGGCACCGCGCCTCTAATGTGATAGAAACTCACGTTGGTTTCTCTGATGCAGATGTGCGATTCGTCGAGTGATTTGTACAAGGAAACGCGGGCTTTGCTTGCAACAGATCCGAAGCAACGGCCAAGCCTTTTCAGCGCCGGGCAGATTGCAGAACGACCTGTGGCCGCCCAAGTCGGGCCAGCCATTGATGTCTTGCGCGATGCGCCCGAGCTCATTTCAGAGGTGCGTTGCTTGTTAACTTTTTGGTTCTTCCGCAAGTCGTCTGATTTGAATCTACTGGGTGGGTAGGTGGGTGAGCTACTGAAGCAGCTGAACACCGGTGGGCGGGGACCAGCGAATATCGCAGTGCAACGAGTGGAGCGCGTGCACAACCCCGTGCTGTGGGAGCGCTACAGCGCCAAGCGACGAGAGATGTTGCATCGTATCAAAAGTCAAGTGCACTATGATCAGCTCCAAACGGCCACATCAGATGCACCCTCGGGCTCTCCAGCTCTGCTTCGCGATGCATCCTGTCAAGAGCGCCTGTTGCTCCACGGCATCGCCCCAGACAGATCTCTGCGCGACAAGATTGTGCGCCTGGGCCTTGACCAGCGTTTTGCTGGCAGCAGCGCTGGTCACCGATTCGGTCTTGGTGTTTACTTGGCCGACCATCCCGGCAAGGTATGGCAACGCTGGCCGTCAATCTCGCCTGTTTACCCAAGTGCTGTGGTGCTGACGCAATGTGCTTACATGGTTTCAGAGTCATCAGTACGCCGGTGCCGGTCCCAACGGCGAACGAATGCTCGTCATCTCGCGAGCACTCCTGGGCCATGCCCATGTCCATCCATCACCTCCTTCTGGGGCGCTGGCGCCACCGCTCCTGCCCAGTGCGCCCAACAACGAGCGGTGCGTTGGGCAAAATCGACCATCTGTTGCATGTTGCCCTCAGCAAAGTACCTCTGTCCACCACCTGATCTGACTTGTTGCATCTGCCATTGAATTTTCTTCAGGTATGACTCTGTTGTCGCGACACCCTCTGGGCAATTCCACGAGGTGATTGTGTTTGAGAATGCCCAAATGTATCCGGAGCTGGTTGTATACTACACGGCCAATTAGGATGAGCTGGACTAGGTGCTAGTTTGTTGTGAGCGGCAGAGCCCTTTGTCCTGATGCTTTTGCACACAATCAGCGTTATCGATGAGGGGTCTTCCCACAGGAGCCCCTATGGAGCTGGCGCGACTTCATTTCCTGACTAACATACGCACCTTCACGAACTGAGGCGTGCCCTCCCTCTAGGGGGCACATGCGTCGACCCCGCGAGCTTTGCAATGTCTTTGCAGCCAGTCTTGTCCGATATGCTTGTGTTCACCGTTGTTCGTTATTGTTTGTTTGTTTGTTGTAACACCTCTTGGTCTGGTCACTATGAATGCTTGCAGACCGCAGCTGGTTCAATTGACCTCACGACACCACCAAATTTCTTGTTTCGTCCCGACGGACGTCTTTCAAACCTTTTTTTCAAAACGCCTCCTCAACACGGCCCGCTTCCTCGCAAACCCAAAACTGGCCTTTCACATGCTGTGGAGCCTGACAGCTGGCTGTCCCTGAATGAACGGCATACCTTTCCATAAATGGATCAGGAAATCAGCATGCTAATCTTCATGTATTTGTTGCTAAGCAAGCTTCTGGAGCACAGGCTGAGTAGCTGGCTGGAGAAGCCAGGCAAGCTGGACACGCCCGGCGACTATGCTGCATTTCATTGACAAACGAGCACGTACCTGTATCGGCCAACGCTTGGGGACGCCGCGACCTTCTGGATGACGGCGGTTGTAATTCATCGACTCTTGGCCGAGACGACCAGCGCTCTTGGCAGCCTAATCCACACTCAAGCTCGGCACTCTGGAGACACGGCCGAGCAAATGACCGTGTGCAAACCAAGGTGTCGTCTCGACTGTTGCATCGAGTGGACTCGCATGAATGGCATGCTATGTTTGGACTAGATGGCAAAGCGCAGTATGGCCGAGTTGACAGCAACCCAAGAAGCATTGGAAGTTTGCTATATTCCAACAGTTGAAACCCGGTGACTGACCTCTCGCCCGAGGCGAATCTTGTTGTTGTTGTTATTGTTGTTGTTGTTGTTGTTGTTGTTGTTGTTGTTGTTGTTGTTGTTGTTGTTGTTGTTGTTGTTGACATGTGGTGTTTGTGTGCAGGTGTGCGAGGCGACGAGCGGTTTGTACAAGGAAACAAGGGCCTGCTTGCAAGAGATTTCAAGCAGCGCCCAACTCTCTTCAGCACCGGGCAGAGTGTGCAGCGCCCAAGTTGCTGGGCCAGCCATTGACGTTTTGTGCGACGTGTGCGAGCTCGTGTCAGAGGTGCGTTGCTTGCTGACATCGTCATACTAAGATTGTTCTTTTTATCTTGACAAGCCGACTGATTTGAATTTATTGTGTGACTAGGTGGCTGAACCGCAGCAGCAGCTGAGTGCTGACGGGCTAGGACCAGGTAACGCTGCAGGGCAGCGGGTGGCACGTGTGCAAAACCCCCGTGCTGTGGGAACGGTACAGCAGCAAGCGACGGGAGATGCTGCACCGCCTCACAAGATAGGAGCACTATAATCGACTTGTCACCACCACCTCGGATGTGCTCTCGGGCTGTCCAGCTTTGCTTCGTGATACACCCTGTCAAGGCGCCGGCTGCTTCATGTCCGAGCAATCGCTGCGCGATAAGATTGTGCGCTTGGGCCGCGACCATCCCTTTGCTGGTAGCCGCGCGGGCTTTCACAAGTTATGTTCTTGGCGTTTACTTGTTCGATCATTTTTGGCAAGGTGGGGTTTGAAACTGCGACTGATTTGATCGAAATGCGCTGCTGTTCTCTGATACCAGATGCGCTTTTGTGTATGACTTTAGAGAGTCATCAGGACACCAATGGTGGACTCGATGGCGAGCGCATGCTTATTGTCACGCGAGTTTTGTTGGGTCATGCCTAGGTCCATGAAGCACCACCTTGTGGAGCACTGGCCCCACTGCTCTTGCCAGGCGCACCAGACAATGAGCGGTGCGCCGGACAGACACGTTGCATGTTGGTTCTGAGCCGCGAGTACCTCTGGTCGACTTTGGACCTGACACGACGATTGCCTGTGACCTTTTCTACAGACATGACTCGGTGATCGCTACACCGTGTGGCGAATTTCGCAAGGTGGCCATCTACGACCATACACACATCTATCCCGAGCTGGTGGTGTCCTATACACGATCGAATGATGCCAAACTCGAGGCCGTGTGAACATTCGGTTTTGGTGTTGAGATCCTTTCCTCTCTGCTCGCATGATTCGCTTTTGAGCATTTGAACGCGACCGTGGACTGACTGGAGTGATGCGTGAATAATATCGTTCTTGGATGCGCATCATCTCGGCTTCTTCCCGTGCCACAGCCACAAAGTCCGCGGCGCGTTGTGCTCGCTTTACTCTGAGATCACAGAGGCCGAACTGTGCCTCACGATTCATTTCGGCGCCCGGCTTGTGTGGGCGATCATCACATCGCAACCCCTGCACTCTCTGGATCGCGCTTGGCAACTCTGCGACGTAGGCAGGTGAAGGAAGCGTCTGCCTGCCAGTCAAAATACGTTTTTATGCTTGCCAACTGCCAAACCTTCAGACATCGCACTGGCATTGAGGATGCTTCGAAGACCGCTCCATTCACGGCTTTCGGCGCTTAGCACACTGTGCTTTTCTCTTTAACATTGTAAAGAAAAAAAAACAAAAATCAAAATCAAAATCGACTTGGTTTCAAGGCGACAGGTACGAGCTCAAGTTCAGAGAAGAAGAGAGGAGACGACTGGAACATCCACAGACATCATATCAACATGTTTACGCGAAACACGTCCAAGGGACAACAAGCTTGGACTGCGGATATGGCGGGTTACTTAGCAAAGAGACACGCCCGTAGCACAAGCGGCACCGCTTGCCACGCGGTAGAGCTGGCCCGAAGCACAAGCGCAGAGCTGAAAGGCGGCTGCCCCTGCATCAGCCGCCAGCACCGGAAGGTTATCCATAACTATTGCGTTCCCCGAGAGGGAGAGCTCGTTGGCAGCCGTCAACGAAATGCTGTCAAAGGCTGACACAGTCACGCTGGCCGTTTGACTGTTGACGGTGACAACGTCTCATATTGATGCCAACGCCCGCGAGTTGCGCCGCACGGTCTGTGTGTGTGTGTGTGTGTGTGTGTGTGTGTGTGTGTGCAAACTCCCTGAGACACACGCAGGCACATAAATTCACCTCTTCTACTGCGCTCTGCCCATCTCTCCCCTAAGTAAGAGAGAGAGAGATTTAGAGAGAGAGATTTAGAGAGAGAGGGATTTAGAGAGAGAGATTTAGAGAGAGAGATTTAGAGAGAGCGAGAGATTGAGAGAGAGAGATTTAGAGAGAGAGATTTAGAGAGAGCGAGAGATTGAGAGAGAGGGATTTAGAGAGAGAGATTTAGAGAGAGAGATTTAGAGAGAGAGGGATTTAGAGAGAGAGATTTAGAGAGAGAGATTTAGAGAGAGCGAGAGATTGAGAGAGAGAGATTTAGAGAGAGAGATTTAGAGAGAGCGAGAGATTGAGAGAGAGGGATTTAGAGAGAGAGATTTAGAGAGAAATTTAGAGATTTAGAGATTTAGAGATTTAGAGGAGATTTAGAGAGAGAGAGAGAGAGAGAGAGAAATTTAGAGAGACTTAGAGAGAGGGAGATTTAGAGAGAGAGAGATGAACTTAGAGAGAGGGAGATGA